TGATTAGATATAGAAGATGTGAGCATGCCATGCGGTTTTGGGAGGCAGCACAGCGTTTCTTTGGTATTGATATACCACATCTACACCCATTGTCATGGTCTCGAGACCTTCTAGATCAGCGACTATATAAGAAGGAGGAGGCGGCTATTATGATTATTGTGATGTGGGCAGTGCTGTGGGCAGTATGGCATTCAAGGAACAATTACACGCATGGTGAATTGGTTTATCAGCCTTTGAAATCTATGGTGATTATTGAGGAGATTGTTCGGGCACTTGAGATCCCGGAGAGGAAGAAGACCCCAGCCATTACCCCACCGAGGTGGGCTCCACCGGAGGAGGGGTGGATTAAGATCAATACGGATGGAGCAACGGATATGGGTCTTGTGAGGGAAGGAGCGGGCTATATTGCGCGAGATCATCACGGTGCTCTCATTAGAGCCGGAGGCTCAAGATATGACGGGGTTACGGACCCTTTGTCCATTGAGCTACTCGCATGCAGAGACGCGATCATCATGGCACGATCTATGGGTTTCCAGCATGTGTTGATGGAGACGGACTGTCAGGAGATTCAACGACTCTGGGAGGCACCTCAGAGATCGACATGTTATCACCTCATTGTGGAGATGAAGGAGATGTCTACTTTGTTTCAGGGATTCAGGCTACGGTTCTCGGGTCGTCAGACTAATATGGCGGCTCACCGTGTAGCTAGGCATTCGTTAAATTTGAGTGTTTTTATGCATTTGTATGATACAATCCTTGAGTGGCTGACTGATTGTTTGCAGTCAGACATGCTAGCGCCTAACGAATAAAGAGCCAGAGAGCGTTTTAGCTTTAAAAAAAAATTCAGAGATGACGCCGCAGAACTTACAAACGAACAGCATCGGAGAAACGACATTTGAGAAGCAACACCAGCCGCACGTACGGTGCTGAGTCAGGAGCCTGCATTTACGGCCGGATCTGCCGACCGCTGAAGCCCTGTGCTCCATTCACCCAGACCCAGGCTAGCTGAGCTGACAGGTTCACATACTACTACTGTAGTACTAGAGATCTGAATCATAGCTGCCTCTGGGTCGCTGGTTCCATCAGGGCTTGTGGCTGGCACTGAAGGGCAGGTCCGTTTCCTCTCCGCAATGCATTGATGAACAGAGGGTGACACTGGAGAAAATCCCAACTAGTTGCAAGGTGCAGATGTCTATGGCTATCCAGGCCAACTGGATTTTCCTTGTTCGAGAAGGACAGAGCCACTTGGGTTTTGGATGGATAACGGTAGCCATGTAAAGTGTTTTTGTCATTTGATATTTGTGTGCTGCCGAATTCGATCGACCAAGGAAATGGAGTGTCTCAGACTGTCGAGGAAAAGAAACAACGGTCCTATATGGATGGAAGGAAAAGTGCACCCCGACACAGCAGCAGCTTCTGCTGTTTTGCTTACGTGCGAATTGACCTGCCGCTCAAAAGACAAAGTAAAATGAGAACGCGTTATTATGAACAGTCCTTAGAATATTCGCCAAAAAGAAAAAGAACAGTCCTTAGAATAGAAATCTCCCCAAAGGGAAGCTAGACCTTTCACAATTGTCCGCATGTAATTTTGTTCGTCATGGCTGCTTGTCGTTTTAGTAAAAAAAAATATTAAGCCATTGTTTTAGTTTCTTTAGAGCAATTCCAATGGGGCGACCCAAACTGAAACGAACGGCGATTTCGTCCGCCTTTTGTCCGTTTAGCTCGGCCGGCCGCCCGACGTCCGCCCTGTTTTAGATATGGGTCGGCAAGGCGTCCAACGCGCCGATCCATATGTGCCGGCGTGGCCGCCTGGCCCCCCTACTTTTTTTGCATGAATTTGCATAATTTGAATCAAATAACATAGTTTTGGACCGAATAAAATAGCATAGTTATTACAAGCCAAATGAAAATAAAAATGTTCTCTCATAGTTTTGCAAAAGAATAAAAGAAGATACATCTATTGGTTGCCAATATGAGCCCACATATGCTCAACTAAATTATTTTGCAGTTGCATGTGAGTTTTCCAATCACGCATGTCTTGATGAAATTGAGTGAATTGTTCAAACGTTGCTGCTACTCCATGCTCAGGCACAACATTCTCACCCTGAAACTGAAACCCTTGATCATACAGATGTTCCAGGCGCAGTCATCACCTCCCACAGTTTCTATGTGCTCCAGGTATTAGCAGGATACCGAACGATGCCCCATCGAGATTGCAAAACACCAAAGGCACGCTCGACATCCTTCCTAGCACTCTCTTGCTCTTGGGCAAATCTTTTCCTCTTCTTTCCGACAGGGTTGGGTATTGTCTTGACAATAGTGGTCCACTGAGGATAGATACCGTCACCGAGATAGTATCCTTTGTCGTAGTTGTGGCCGTTGACAGTAAAGTTCACCGGTGGGTTGTTGCCTTCGGCAAGCCTAGCAAACACCGGCGAGCGCTGAAGCACGTTGATATCATTGTGTGATCCAGTCATGCCAAAGACAGAGTGCCAGATCCAGAGATCTTGAGACGCCACGGCCTCTAGTATGACAGTGCAAGCCCTGACATGGCCCTTATACTGCCCTTGCCAGGCAGAAGGACAGTTCTTCCACTCCCAATGCATGCAACAATCTATGCTACCAAGCATCCCTGGGAAGCCCCTGCTGGCATTCATCGCCAACAAATGGGTTGTATCTTCAGCAGTCGGCTCTCTTAAGTACTCAAGGCCAAACACAGCAATAACAGCCTTGCAGAACTTATACAGGGACTCTAGGCAAGTAGACTCGCTCATACGGACGTACTCGTCAATGAGATCACCGGGCACTCCGTATGCAAGCATTCGGATGGCGGCAGTGCATTTCTGATAAGAGGAAAAACCAATCTTGCCAACGGCATCCTCTTTGCACTCGAAATAGTCATCATAGCCGACCACCCCCTCTCTAATACGGTTGAAAAGATGCCTACTCATACGAAAACGGCGGCATAATTTTTTATGTTTGAACAATGGGTTTGTTGTATCAAAGTAGTCATTCCAAAGAAGGAAATGCCCACTCTCTCGGTTGCGATTCAACGCCGGAAGGTGGCCCGGAATGGAGCCATGGAACAACGGCCGCTGGTTGTTGAGTGGTGATGGACCAACACGGCAGCCAATATCTCCTCCTCGTCATCGGAGGACGAATCGTCGAAGTCGCAAAGGAATTTGTGAAAAAGAACTCGTCGGCGGAGTCCATTTTGTACCTTGGCAAACTGTCAAACAGCTTGCGGGCGTCGATGAAGGAGACGACCGGCGAAGGAAGTCATGACGCGCACGGACCAGCTAGCTGCCCTGCCAGCGTCCGACGAGCGTGTCGGTGATAACCCACAAGTATAGGGGATCGCAAACAGTTTTCGAGGGTAGAGTATTCAACCCAAATTTATTGATTCGACATAAGGGGAGCCAAAGAATATTCTCAAGTATTAGCAGTTGAGTTGTCAATTCAACCAAACCTGGATAACTTAGTATCTGCAGCAAAGTATTTAGTAGCAAAGTAGTATGGAAGTAACGGTAACAATGGTAAAAATAACAGTAGCAGTTTTGTAGTAATTGTAACAATAGCAACAGTAAAGTAAATAAGCAAAGCACAATATGTGAAAAGCTCGTAGGCACTGGATCAGTGATGGATAATTATGTCGGATGCGATTCCTCGTGTAATAGTTATAACATAGGGTGACACAGAACTAGCTCAGTTCATCAATGTAATATAGGCATATATTCTGAATATAGTCATACGTGCTTATGGAAAAGAACTTGCATGACATCTTTTGTCCTACCCTCCCGTGGCAGCGAGGTCCTACTGAAAACTAAGGGATGTTAAGGCATCCTTTTAATAGAGTACCGGACCAAAGCATTAGCACTTAGTGAATACATGAACTCATCAAACTACGGTCATCACCGAGAAGTATCCCGATTATTGTCACTTCGGGGTTGTCGGATCATAACACATAATATGTGACTATAGACTTGCAAAATAGGATCAAGAACTCACATATATTCATGAAAACATAATAGGTTCAGATCTGAAATCATGGCACTCGGGCCCTATTGACAAGCATTAAGCATAGCAAAGTCATAGCAACATCAATCTCAGAACATAGTGGATACTAGGGATCAAACCCTAACAATGATTACATGGTAAATCTCATCCAACCCATCACCGTTCAGCAAGCCTATGATGGAATTACTCACGCACGGCGGTGAGCATCATGAAATTGGTGATGGAGGATGGTTTATGATGACGACGGCGACGAATCCTCCTCTCCGGAGCCCTGACCGGACTCCAGATCAGCCCTCTCGAGAGAGATTATGGCTTGGCGGCGGCTCCGTATCGTAAAATGCGATGAAACTTTCTCTTTGATTTTTTTCTCCGTGAAAGCCAATATATGGAGTTGGAGTTGAGGTCGATGGACGTTCAAGGGGCCCACGAGGCAGGGGCGCGCCCTAGGGGAGGGGCGCGCCCCCCACCCTCATGGAGGTGGGCCGTGGACTAGATTCGGCGTTCCCATCTGATCCGTGGCCCAGGATTTCAGCTTTCCGTTTGGTGGGCTCGGGCACGAATTGAATGCGTGGTCTAGTGTCTTCTTCCACATAGCGGTGCTCTCATTCCGGAGCTAGCGGCTGGGGAATCGGGAGGAGCAGCGCCGGCGTCGACCATTCATGGAGCTCCTGATGCAGCCTATACGCGGGTACATTCATCTGTGCTTCTCGTCCCCTCAAGGTCTCGTTGCTAATCTCATTGACCTCGATCTGGAGTTTGACAGAACATGTTTTGCCTTGTACTAGATCCACTTTTCTGGAGGAGGTGGGAGAAAGTTTTGTACCGCTACATGTGGCCGCGGTAGTGCATGTGCCAACGGTGCCGCATGTGTAGAGATGGTGGTGGAGCATCCAGTGGTGGAGCAGGAGGTGGTCTAACAAGTGCGCGCGGCCGCTAGCGGCGATGCGCATATTCTGGCAGCCAAGCTGTCGGCGGCGGTCAGGATGGACGGCTCGCCACCCTCGTCGGAGCTGTATATTGGGAAGATGAATCCTCGGGCGCCTGGATGGAATAAGAGGCTAGTTCTAGATTTTTGGCATTATTAGTAGCAGAGTAAATCTATCAGAGAGATAACGATTTTGTCAGGAGGGAGATTGTACCATCTAGAACAAGCATCGTATTGGAGTGAAGGACTTTAAACTGAGTTTTTATTGATACAACCAGTAGAATTACTAGCAATTTGGTATGAAGTATTTATATTCTTGGTTCGATTTACAACAAGCTTTCATTTTGTGAGGGTGAGAAATCATACCATTTAGAACAAGCATCAAATTGCAGTCAAGTATTTAGAATGAGTTTTCGTTGGTACAGCCATTGGATTTGAGAATCAAATTGGAAATAAAGTATTCTTAATCTTGCTTCAGTTTACATGCATTTTGAAATATATCAGTGGGTGCATGGTTAGTGAATCCTGGTCATTAAATTAGGAAGGTGGCTTTGTTTGTAGGTTGAGGACTGGAGCTGCTGCACCGAGCAGGCCGCCTTGTCCAAACCACATCAGTGCGTTCGAGAAGGTTGTGTGGAGTTTTGCTGAGAACCCAACCGATAATGTTATCACACAAGTTATTGGCACAACATTAGACTCGGTGAGTGAGGTGTATGACTTCCACAATTTGTACTCGTGGGAGAAGGGCTTTGGCATTCGTTATGGGAAGAGCAGGCTAAATGTGGAGAGGACCAAATGCATGCAGGAAATAGTTTGTGGTTGCTCGATAAGTGTGAGAAAATTTACTTTTTGTGCTGGGACATACAATTCATACTCGTGTCCTGTGTGTGGAGTCGGCAAAAGTACTGAATTTTCCTGAAAAAACATTTCACAGGGCAAGGCTGGTGTTGAGAACACAAGGTCTTGTCGTTGCGAGTGCCCTGCTCTAATAAGGCTGCTACGGGCAGAGAACAACAGATGGTACATTGCAGAGCATAGAGATACTCACAACCACTCGCTGTCAACTAATTTCGGTGAGACAATCCACTGGCCCTCACACAAGCACATAGGTGTGTACACGAGAGATCTTGTGAAACAGTTAATGTAGAACAATGTGAACTTAGCAAAGGTGTACAGTATCATCAAGGGTTTCTTTGGCTCAATGGAAAATGTTCTGCTCACGAAGAGGTCGTTGCGTAATATATGTCGGAAGATAAACAAACACCATGCAGAAGATGGTGTGAAGAAGACAATGGATGTGTGTGCGGAGAGCTAAAGATCCACACTTCACATACAGGGTTCAGTCTGACAATGAGGGTAGGATTAAGAATCTGATGTGCACAAGTGGGAGCAGCAGGCTACAATACTCATTTTTTGGGATGTCATAACATTTGACGCGACTTACTGCACTAATCTGTATGACATGCCTTTTGGCCCGTTTGTAGGGTGAACAATCACTTTCAAAGTGTGATACAAGCCTGCGTGCTCGTGCGTGATGAAATACCATAGTTTTGTGTGGGTTTTCTCAGACTTCCTTAGAATGATGGGTGAATCTCCACTAGTGACCATACTGATAGGTAAGTTTCTATTATTTTTTGGGAAGTACTCAATCGCTTAGAGCTGGTATTTTAGATATGAATACATGCTTAGAAGAATTATGTGGTGATGAATTTTTTTCCTTCGCATGTGCAGACCAGAACCGGGCTATGGAGCTGGCTATCAAGAAGGTTTTGCCAGACGCAACACACCGGTGGTGCAAATGGCATGTTCTGAAGAAAGCAAAAGATTCATTGGGCAGTCTGTACACGAAGAAAATCCAGAGCTGAATTTTAAGGTGATAAATCACATGCTAACAGAACATGAATTTGAGAAGATTGGGAGATGTTGCTGGATAAATACAAGCTCAGGGCTCATCCCTACATGATAAACCTGTTTGAGATTCGTAAGAAATGGGCGAAGCCTTATTTTAAGGGAGTTATTTGTGCAAAAATGACCAGCACACAGAAGTGAGAGTGTGAACTATATGCTGAAGAATTATGTGCCTCATGGTTTCCCAATGCACATGTTTGTTCAGAAATACATGAGGCTCCAGTTTGATCGGGAGTCGGAGGAGAACTACGAAGAAAAACAAACGCGAATTGTAAGCATTTTTTTTGGAATGTCCTATGTATTTCAAGCCATCGTCAGATCATGTGCTTAAAAAATAATTAATCATTACAATGCTTGTGTAATATTTGTGGAGGGGAGGCCGGTCATGAGAGAAAACCTTGCTGTGGAAAGGCATGCCAACAAGATATATACAAGAGACATGTTTGAACACTTTGGGTATATATTGTACAAGTGTGGTGTTTATCAGGTTGAAGAGATTGAAAAATACAAGACATATGTTGGAATCCACAGCGAGGCAGAGAACAGAGAGAAATGGTGCAGACTGTCATACAAGGTTACTATGCTTGACGGGGGCGAAGAATTCGACTGTGAGTGTGGATAGTTTGCACACATGGGTTTGATTTGCAGCCATGTGCTGAAGGTTAGTGGTCGACCATTTCTCCTGAATTGTTTTAGCCAGAAATCATGCTAAATCCGACTGCAAGTATTCATGATGCATGAAGACCTACCGGATTGCTATGTCCTGATTCCCGGTGTTTTCTTTTTCTTTTTGCGGGTGTTAGATTTCATTCGGGCCAAAGAAATACCAGGAAAATATATCGTGAAGAGATGGACAAAGGATGTTAGAGATATACTACCTGCCCACCTGGTCCAATACCAAAAGGATAGCATGAAGAACAACCCATTTTCGTACAGACACTTCATGATGCAACCCATGCGATGGAACTAGTGAGACTAGGAGACACCAGTGTGGATGCATTCAACGGATTGATGGAGGGGGTGTGCCGCTTGTAGGTGTCCGTCGATCTCAAGAACGGGCACAGCCCAGCCTACACATAGTGTAGTGATTCCTAAGAAAAATGTATGTGGCTCAAGAAACTGATTTGTGCAGAGAACTGCTTACATCTTTCCTGGCGCACTTGTAGAACCGGTCTCCCGCTCGGAAAACGAAGGTCGCCACCTTGTGACGGCATACTAGGCAAGAGATCAGCAAGAGCTTGCCATCTTCTCCGATCTGATTCTTCTAAGCGAGGATGAAGAAGATAAAGCAATTGGGCAGTCCGTGGAGTCTTGTACTGGAAGGAGGTGGGAGGTAGGTGCGGGTCCTGTAGACGTAGGCCGTTTAGCAGAAAACGTCTGAGCCGTAGCCCAAGATTTGTCGTTCCCATCTAAGCTGGTGTTGTGGTGATGACGGCCGTTGCATTGAAAGCGACAACTGGGTGGGCCACGATGTGGAAAAAGGAGCGCATGCATATCCATATACGGACTGGAATACCCGATGCGATGGGAATCTCGACAAATGCTGACGACTATGATATCGAGTCCATCTGAGCTCGAGCTCAGAATAAGACTTTCGATCTGTCCTGCACTAGTGCCAACTAGTACCAAGAATTGAGATGCTAGTACCCAGAATCGATAACGTGAGGTAGTAGTACTAGTTGAATGGCTAATTTTATTATCTAAATCTTGGAGACCGTGCTGCAAAACTTATCATGGACTGCACTAGTCCTATGGCACACACAAAGCAGCAAAAGAAAACTGCTATCAATAAACAATAGTGGCCACCTTGCGCAGAGTTAAAAAAGAAAACATCATATAAAAGGAAAAAGACAAAAGGGAAAGAGTCTCCCTGGTGGCCGCTGCCGTGCAGGAGCGTCTTCTGATTTGTCGCCGGATACTGGTATGTCCTTGGCCTTTACGTCTCGGGACCCATCATGAAAGGCGTCGGATATGTCTTGATTTGACGTCCTGCGGGCTGCAGTGTATCACGTCTCCCTGGTCTCCAGTGAGGCAGGGTTGGCACTGTATGACGCATGCATGTCCGACGGAGGCTTCAGATCGCTAAGTGTATTCGGATCTCTTGACTGCGTTCGAGATCAAAACCAATCTGTAAACAAAATAGCGCAAGATAACCGCAAAAAGAAATCTGGATGATGTAGAGGGAGCATATCGAATTGAAATCATAACACCTGATTTATGCCATCACATCCACGATGACACCTAAGAGGCTCTCAATGAAAGCACCAATGTCGGTGTCAAAACCGGCGGATCTCGTAGTAGTGGTTCTAAGCTAGGCGTCTTGGAGCGATGGTAACATGGACACGGAGTTTTACCCAGCTTCGGGCTCTCTCAAAGAAATAATACCCTACATGCTGCTTTTGATTGTATTCATATGGGTGTAATACAGAGTACATGTGTCTACCACGAGATTATAGTAATGAATATGAGATTGTCCATTGACTAGTCTGACCTCGGTTTATATAAGACACCGGAGGCCTAGGGTTTAGGAGAGTCATTGTCTTGGGCGCCAAGTCTTGTGGAGTCTTCCTTGTATGCGGCAGAGATTGTCCAAACTGGCCCATGAGTATACGGCCATGGGGGTCCTCGGCTCAATCCAACTGAACGGGAGACGATGTGGTGAGTACCCCCTAGTCCAGGACACCGTCAGAGGCCCCGACAGCGGGCAGAGTCGCTGACAAAAATGGGCGGCGGCGGCGACAACGAAGGAGGATGGCGAGGGTTGCTGTTGGATGGGGGGAGGCCAATGTACCACCGACCAGCGGGCCCGGGGAAGGAGAGGGCGAGCATGCCGCGTCCATTGCGTGTCCGCGCCGATGGAAACCCGGCTCAAAAATGGGCCGGGAATGGGTCGCCCACGGACGAAAAGCGAACGCGTGTCCGTTTGGGTCGGCGCGTTGGGCCGCCTTTTGTGTCCGCGCCAAACCAAATGGATGGCGGCGGGCGAAATGAGTCATCCCATTGAAGTTGCTCTTAACCTAGTATAAATAAACTTTCAGTTTTTTTTACGAAATATACATTTTGGTTAATTAATAAAACCAAACCGTTTGATAACTGCTTCGAGCACTGAAGGAGAATGATGTGCAATATATTGCAACACACGCACATGTAGTTCTTAAAGCATCTTCAACAAATACGCGGTTGCACGATGCGTTAAACTTTTTTTGCAGTGCCGAAATAGCCTTTAGCGCACGCAGGAGGATGTTTGCTTCAGCAAAAGCAGTATATATTGCGGGCGCATGTAGCGCTAAATTACAACGCGCACGTCTAGCAAAAACAACATTTCACATGAACATAGAACCAAGAAGATCAAACACACATTAAATAAATCAACAATGAATAGTTCAATTACTATTACAACTCAAACAAATGGTTTATTCCAATACAACAAGTAGTTCAACAAAAACAACAAACATACAACATCAAACTAGTTTTGTTGCCCATTTCATGCCCACCACTCCTTGATTAGATCCTTCTGAAGCTCATTATGCCTTTCGACACCTTAGATGGCATGATAGGAGGCAATAAAGCGGGCCACCCTCGCAGCCCTCCCCCGCACTCGCACGAGACATCCCAACAACTCATATTGAGAATAGTCTAAATCTTGCCCATGGCAAACATTCTCCGATGGGTGGCTTCTTGGAGGCATCAATGGAGTATGAGCAACGGTTGGTGGAGGCCCGATGTAGTGGGAATGAGCAGTTGGAATTGGGGATCACTGGATCGAGAGTTTAGAGGAGTCCGATGTCGATGAGTCAAGATTTCATTGTTTCAAGAAGTTATATAGGACGTCAGAGGAGTGTCAAGCAGGCGATTATAGTCCTATCACCTATGGCTGGTCTAGAGAATACAAGATTTAGGGTTGGGCCATATGAGTTAGATGTTTACCCCACATGTCATAGGAATAATTTTGATTTATTAATTTCTTTTGGGTATCCATTGGATTATCCATGCCCTACCCATAGATTTTGCGGGTATGGATACCCATTACCCGTGGGTACAAAATCTTTCCAAGTCATGCCCATGCCCATTGTTTTCGGATAGGGTATCCGCGGGTACCCATACCCATGGGCAAAACTGCCATCCCTACGCAAGATAGTAGACATAGTTGTATGTATAACCATTTGCTACAAACTCCACCGGTGTAGTTTCACCATTTGCAATCTTATTCATGAGTGGTGACCGATTGAGAACATCGAT